GAAGAGAATCAGTAATGATAGATAAAGTTGTTAAGTTTGGGCTTGTGATAATTTGAGGTCAAAAAAATTCAGGTGAAGCTGAAATTTTTTTTTTCCTTAGAAAAACTTAGTTATGCATTCAAGCAGGGGAGGATGAGGACATGAGGTCAAGAAGGAACAAGATGTTAAATTTCTATGATATGTTGCTTGAATGTTATTAACTAGTTTAAGGAAAAAGAAAAGAAGCGAGATTGTGTCAACTGTTCTCTTGTGTTCAGGTACATATTTGGTAAGTCTTCACCATGGACTGATCCAAGGCTGAGACTGAGCTGGCAAAAGGTATGTGTTTAACACAAAAGGCTAAACTTCTGAAACAAGGCAACTTTGAGATGGGCCCGAATATGATAATCGAGTCAAAGCCAGAATCAAATTATCTTCAAAAGCTTGATATGATATGATTAAAAGAGAGCTGGAGTTCGTCTTCACAATAGACAAGGGACAGTTTGTGTGATTTGTGTGTATGAATCACCACAGTTGAAGTGACAGACAGTGATCCAAGGCTTATGAGACAATTTTTGGGATATACTAACTACATTATGCTGATTTCCTAAATCTCAGTATTAAAGGGAGAGACTAAAAGCTTTGTATCTTTACGGGCACTACAACCACATACGTGTTATAAAAGAGTTTCTCTTGTATCAATGCTGTTTAGTTCAGAAAGTGAAAGTCGTGTGCATTTTGACATTAGCTTCATTCATGTATCTTTTGATGACAATGATATATGTTTGATGAAAGGGTAGCTACTGCAGAAGATTGGATGAGGATATATGACTGGTGTAAAGCTGGTATTTGATTGACTGAAGATTTGGAGTCTCAAGTCAAAGAATTTTTTTTAATCAGAACTAAAACTTTCCCAGGTTATTTTTTACTTGTTTGGCGTTGAAGATAAACGAAATACGGATGTTCCCTGTTGCGTAAGCAACTCGAGGGCTGTCTACATCCAGTGGAAGAGGCAATATGTAGACACATGACAATTCTGCAGAGAATTTTGATAACCTCGTAGTTACAAATGCTAAAAAATCTGAAAGAATTTTTAAGTATGTGAAATGTTTTGCAGAGACAGTTAGTTTAAGAAGTTTTTCTTCAGCTGAGATATTTGTGTATGAGTCGTCAACTGATGATTGTAGTGGCACATTTGGTTTTATATGAGCATGTGTACTCAAGTAGGGGGAGAATGCGAAGCAATGTTACTGGACGAGAGATGCAATGATCTAGGGAGAGAGTTTGGTGCTTTCAAAGTTAAGCTTGAGTTGACACAGTCAAACAAAAAGACAATGAAAGAGCACAAAAAGACACGATTATAGGTGTTGGATTTTATTCAAGTGACATGCCGGGTTGTAATAAAAAAGTGATGGTTCCATCCATATTAGTTTCACGTGAAGATATGACATATGAGTGTTATAAGAAGAGAAAAAATTCTTTTGGATTTTGTTTCAAAGTTGAGTCCAACTAATATAAAGACTTGCTAGTGCAAGCATCTATTAGAAAAACATCTAAAATAAAATGTCAGTCATACTGATCTGGATTGACACAATACTGCAATAACTAAAAAAATTTAATCATAAAAGACTATGTCATTAAATTAAAATTAAAGAAACCATATTTAAATGATTCTAAACCTAATTGAATTAAACTTCCACGATTACAAAACAAATCTGACCTAGAATCCTACATAAAATATGACAAACTTATTATCCTTCAAATTTATCTTATATTGTAATACTGCAAAACTTTAGAAGTTACTGACATAAAAATGAATATGAAACTGTATCAAACAAATAAACTATAGTCTTGATAAAAGTGGATACTGAATTTAATTACTTGCTAACATAAACTACAAAAGTATTGCGGAGAATCAAAAGGCATAACCCAATTAACATTATTTTTACTCGAACACTATGTTTAGCTAGCAATAGATTGACATCTTAACCTTTGAAATGATTTACTATCCTTTAGTTTTAGTCAAGTTATGTCGTACTCTAAATCATATGTCAATTTTACTTGTTAAATTATATGAAACAGTGAATACAAGTGACATGGTGAAATTATCTCAACCACATCAATTATTTAACATGTAAAGTATTCTAAGCGTGGACATATATTAAAATTATGCCAATTACATCAGTTAATATATATTTGAACGTCGTGACTTGATTGTAGTTTTCCAAATTAATATGTTATATCATAAGTCAAGTTTGAATCCAACTTTATAAATTTTATCACAATGATAATGAAAGCAAACTACAAGAACCATTTTTCAATATATAAAGTTTCAATCAAAACATTTGTTGTATCCTTTTTAGAAACCTAAGTATCAGCTGGTTCCTTTAGAATAGAAACAAAGGAAAGTGCATAATTTATAAGTTTTAGCAAGTGTTTTAGCAAAACAAATGTGCACAATTGTTGTTCAGAAGTTTAAATAATTTCTTTATCTTTAAATATTAAAATTTTAGCTTCCATTACGAGAAAGAGCAAGAAGAAGATCAAGCTTTTATCTTCAAAGCCAAAGGTAAATTACGTTTTTGTGGTAACATAGATTTTCTGTATGTCAGCCTAGATATAACAACAACAAAAAAAGCGGATAGAGCCAAGAATATATAGCTTAAGCTATCTGCTGATGACAAGCCACTTCGCCTACCACAAATTTTTGGGGTTCCAAATGAGCCAGAACTCATCACATATAAATTTTTCAAATGCATAGTTCAAAGACCACCATATTTCTACTATTAAAATGTTATTGTTACACCTGAATTTGTGGACTCAAAATACATATGCGCTACAAAAGGAAAAAAAGGTTACATACACAATCTTCCGTCAGCAGCAGGTATCAGTTTTAACCTCTTCCAAAGTACACAATAAATGAGTGGTGACCAAAATGGGATAAAGGGACCAAGTTGAACTACATCTTGACTGTGAATACTTAATATATGTTAAGCCTAGCCGTTTTACAAAAATTCACATCTAACATTTCTACTAGTATGATGTTATAACTATTTGTAATTTTCTGATAATTAATATAATTAACAATAATACATTTTTGAAGTGTGGTGGCTCGAAATCCTGCTAATCTGATCATGGTCATTGATGAGCAGGACTCATCTCTGTCCATGAAACATGGTGAGTTTTCAGATTCTTGTATACTTTTTGATGTATTTGTCGGGTTTAGTAATGATTGTTCTTCATTGAACATGTAGATGTTACTAGAGAGTTCTTTCGACATGTAGCTGATGGTTACAAATTGGTTATTCCTAACAGCAACTTACACATTCAGCTGTGACATCAAAAGTCTCAGAAAAAAAAAAACAGATTTTGAGCCTGAGTTGGCTCTTTTGTATTTCTAAAAACACACCATCAATTTCATCAGGAGATTCAGAGAAAGGACACAGTAACAGAACAACATGATATCCTTGCTTATCAACAAAGGGTTAATCTCAGCATTTCCTCGGTAAGTTGCCTATTTTATCAACAAGAAGATTTTGATTCCTTATAGTTTTCAGTCTCAAACCAAATGAGACTATCATCTAGTCAACAGTGTAAATGATTCTTGCTTGAACATGTAAAAATTTATTACAGAAAATATCAGAAAACAATTAAAATTCAAGAACTACTTAAACTCTATTCAGGTAACAACTCCAATCATAAGCATTCACAACTTATACTCACTCAACATAGGTACTGGGAAATGGTAGCTGCAGCTTAAACTCTATTCAGGTAACAACTCTTATCCGAAATTTCATTTTCTCGAGTTTGCTTTCAGTTACTTGGAGTCATAAGTCATTGCATAAATACATGATGAGTTGCTAAGAGTGTGCATGGACCAGAGGCTGTAGCTAATATAGAACAGAATGCTGATGCGCCTAAAGATGACGAAGGAGAAAATTACTTAGGAAACATGGAGCTTCATAACAGATTGTTGGGATTTTTCAATACTTATTTGTTTACGACTCTAAAGTTATTTGAGATTTACTTGATGACGCAATCGTTTGACATCTTTCTGTACTAGTGCTTAGACAAAAATATGGCTACATTTGTTGTTCTTTCAATCTTCATTATCGAATTCAGGTTTTGAATCTCTGATTGTTGAGATTTCTCGGTGGTTCAACTTCATTGACTGGAACATTAAAACTCTATCCAACACACAAAGTATCAACTCGTGATAGAATATTATAGTTTAAAAACTAATCTAATCCCAATATTTTAACAATCATTGATCGCTCAAAATATATCTCCTTAGTGTGACCTTGACCTGCAAATGTTGGGTGTTCATAAGACACTTGAAAAGTAATACAAGAATGTGGAATCGTCAGAGCTCTGACGAAGCAAGAATGTACCATTTGCTCAAATACTCTATCCTGCACCTGAGAGCAAAACAAATATGTAAAAACCACCTTTGCCCTTTTACAATATGACACCAAGCTAAAGTGAATCGACGTGTGGATAGAGTATTTGAGAATAAAGTAAGCAAATTGATAAAGCTTTGCAACACATTACATGATGTTACAAAGAGAATTCAAAATTAAAGTAAACCGGATTTAAATGGGACATTAAATTAAGTTTTGAAAAAAAAAATTTACTTATATAAATTGCCCCATACATCAAATTAAGTTACCATAACCTAAAAATTTAAATAAGATCCAAAACTCTACTATAAATAATTAAGGCTAACTTAAAATTCTATCATTTTTAGAAAATAGGCTACCTCATTTGATAAAAATGGTGAACCTACAACTTTTTCGTATACGGTTCCAAAAACTGAATCTGAAAACAACACTGCTCATGCAAATGTAAATACTCCATCCTCTGAACCTAAGCTCAAAATCCCTTCACCAAAGAATCCATCACCCATCCACATCAACTCACAATTAAGAGGTGATCCGAATCAACTCACAATTAAGAGGTGATCCAAATCGACTCACAATTAAGATCATGTGGTTAAAAAAAAACACAGGGTAATATTCTGCATGAAGGACATTCAGGTGTGATCCAAGATGAGTTCCTGGAGACAGATTATTACACGATTCTCACCGCCATAGATAAGCAACATCACACAGTTCTCACTTTCTTTTCTTTCTTTTAAATGACAGCTGAAGAAATTTAACTTTGTAGTAAATGTGGTCATGTTTCTGAAACCAGACCGGAAGTGGGTTTATAAATGTGAGGAAGGAAGACGGTGGTGAAGAAGCTGTTATAGAAACCACTGCAATCAGAGACGGAGGTGAAAAGGCTGTTTACAGAAGCAATCCGGTGACGGACGACTGGATTCCTGCGGTGGAAGAGGACCTTGGTTCAGAATCCTTCTTTAAAGCGAACAAAAACTTTGAGAAATCAAACAAAGTCCCACATTAAAAATTTAGACAAGAAATGTTTAGTATATAAAACACATGGAACCAGGCATGTATCTAGGGTAGTGCTGATGGAGCACAAGCACTGGGCCCAATATTTTTTTCAAAAAAAAATTAAAGGGTTTTGGTGCCCTAATTTTAGAATTTTTTTTTAGAAGGGCCTAAATTGTTATAAATTTCTAACTGTATTACTGGAATTATTTTTAGCACTGGGCCATGAACGTATTTGAGCCGGGCCTGCATGGAACTATTTTTTCCTCAAAAATTTTAAATATATTTATACTTTAAGCTTATATCTTCACCCATAAAATATCAAAAAGAAACTATTAATCGCATATAAGACAAAACTAATAGCCATGACTTTAAAGAACAGTTCAAAATGTAAGTTTTCACACCTCTTGGGTTGTAACTTGTAACTGAAGGTCTACAATACACATTGTGGGTTTAAATGAACTTAACAAAACTTCATGGTTAAATCTCGTAAACATGTAAACTTCTTTACTCTTCTTCACTATTATCAGCAGACAATGACCGACTGCTTCCATCGCCTGTGACCAATACTGTTTTAACGACTCCAGCACGAGAGGGGCCATCTTCATGATCCTTTAATTTTAGTGTCCCATCTCATTCCATCAGCTATCTTCCTCATCAAGAAGAATATCCTCAAGTTTGCAGCTGCCACATGACATTAACCATTCATCAGTAGTGAAAGTTCTTAGCTTCAGTGTTGCCAAGTCTGAGAAAGTTTTGTAGGTTGTTGGTCAAGTTAAGAGATGCTAATTCTAACAAAGTTCTTAGCTTTATGGCTACGTTAGGGTATATAATTTTTATTTGTGCGGATACAAGCTGAAGACACCAATAGCGTGAATTAATAGTATGGTCTTGGATAAGTAGAAAACCCTTCACACCTGCAAGATTTGAAAGGAAAGATATTGTAGATCGCTTGTTTATGGTCTCTACAGATTGCCATTAATGTTGGAGAGAGTTCATAGGTAGATACTAATGACAACGCTCAGTGTGTTCTTTGTAATGGTTGGAATCATATTCACAACCCAAGCTTTAGGGATCTTGGCTGTTTTGATGAGTTACCTAAGGGTCACACGTCAAAGAGTTAAATTGGTTCAATATTAAACAATATTTATAGAAAGTCCTTGACAGAAACATAAAACCTTAAGAAAATACGTACATGTACCCTTGTAAATTTGTAATGTTATGAAACATGTATCTAAACTATTAAGGCAGAAGTACAAATAGAAAATAGCCCTAAGAGTTTCACAAATATTACGTACCTATGCCACTGCCTATTTGTTTTACAAATTTCGTTACCCATTCCCTATATTTTGGGCTTATAAATTGTTAATGGCCCAGATCTTCTAATTGCCGATACATACAAGAGACGAGGAAGGCTTGTGTTACATGTTTAAACCCAAAGTTTGAGAAGATATCGTATAAAAAAAACCAAACACCTATATTTACGATACATACAAAACAAATCAAAACAGAATATTTTTTACCAGATTATACGTACTCAGCATTTAATAGTTTAGATTTGCAAAGCTTTGGGATAGATATGATCACGTAATCTAATATATTAAAATAACTTGCCAACCAAGTTTTTCGGATCTCTAAACATCGAATATTCTATTTTCTAAAATAATACAAAGATTTTGCCATTGATTCTGTGTTTAAATTATAACTACCAAAATATACTATGCAATTATTACCTAATGACCTAACGGGATCCCCTTTTCATCACAACTATATATATCTCAACACCTACTCTCGAAAACATATCAAAGAAAACACAAAACCTCAACATGTCTAATATGACGACATTTGTTCCTCTCACAAAACTCAGGCCATTCAAAGACAACTGGAGAATTCAGGTGAAATGTTTACACTCATGGAAGCAAAACATGCCTTATGCAAGTGAAACTTTCGAGATGGTCTTAGCAGATCAATGGGTAAGTTTTCTAACACACGTTTCTTCATTTCACTGTACTACTAATGTCATAAATCTATCTAATATCACTGTGTTTTTTCTTAGGGTAACAAGATACATGCTACTAGCAAAAGATCTCTCATGCAACGAATTCAACGCCTATTATCTGTAGATTCATGGGGAGTCATTGAACATGTTTCTGTCACCAATGCTGGTGGTCATTATCGCACTACCAACTACAAATACAAGATGGTAATAGCAGAAGACGCTGTGATATCAAGATCAGAGTTAGTTGATGATAGAATGTTTCTATCTCTTGCTAATTACGAAGAAATTGAAAATGGAACCAAAAAACCTTCTTTTCTCATAGGTAATCTCAATTTCTGTTATATTTTGATATTTTTTAGAAACATGTTTTCATTGATATAAGTCCTTAGCTATGTTTCGTTTTTCTATCTCACAGATGTGATTGGAAGAATTCATGATCTTGGTGATGTACAGACTGTTCAAGTTTCTGGCGAAGACAGAAAGAGGATTCAGTTTCGCATAGTTGATGAAGGGTTTGTTCTCACTACATTTTTTTTTATTTCGTTAGCTTCTACACTTTATTATGCCTGCTTCGTTTACTAAATAACATGTTTAAATATCCTCAGAGGAAACAATCTTGCATGCTGTCTATGGGGACCATAGACCGTTCTCTGTGGCTGGCAAAGATCAACCAATTATTATTTTGATCAGGTTTGCAAAAATCAAGGAATTTAGAGGTATTTGTTTTGACTATGTTTAATGATTATTAGGAGAGATGCAAATCACTAATGCTTTTGATGCTTCACGTGTGTTCCTGAATGCAATGATCCCAGAAGTTATTGATACGTTCTAATTCACAGCCTATGTTTAATGATTATTATGAGAGATGCAAATCACTAATGCTTTTGATGCTTCACGTGTGTTCCTGAATGCAATGATCCCAGAAGTTACTGATTTAACTCAGAAGTATTTATTTTGTTAAGATTTATATACTATTGCCTACCTATCTTATATAACTTAGATATCAAAATGTGATTGATCTTAATGCAATTTAGGCTCACAAATGATGACCTCTCTGTTTCTCTGGTCCAAAAACCATCTGGAAAGAAGGATGGTAAGAGAATTGCTTATGATTGGGATCTTGCTGAGATCAAAACAATTTCAGAGGTCGCTGAGGCCAAACAGGTACATTTTACATTTTCTACAATAAGAAAAAGAAACATTATGGTTATCAACGTTTGAATACAAATGGATTTTAATTTGCTGAACGCCCTTAGGTGGAGATTTGCAAAATCATATGTACTGTTGAAGCAATTGATACAGATTGGTCTTGGTTCTACATTGGTTGTAACCGGCACCAAAAACGTGTCAATAAGATTCCTAAAGTTGATTATGGAAGCATGACAATAAAAGATAAGCCTTTGTTTCGCTGTGAACTTTGTCGTTCTAATATCAATAACGTGGCACCTAAGTAAGTGATGATATTTAATAAAACTAATTCCTGCGAGTTCACATATCTTACTTGCTTCAAGTATTCTTACTATATCCTATATTTTAAATATCAAATTTTAGATTCAAGCTACATTTGGTTGTGAAGGATGACTCTGCAACATGTACTGTGATGTTGCTAGATTCTGTTGGTAAGTCCATAGTTGGAGTGGATGCTGAAGAATTATGGGATGGCTCTTATGAGGAGGTATATTTTGATATGATTTTTTGTTTTGCAGTAACTTTCCCCCACAATAATTTTTTAGATTCGATCCTCATATATTATTTTATTTATAACAGATTGAAGATCCAGAGCTGCTACCACAACCTATTCGTAGTTTAATCGGAAAGTCTTTCTGTTTATGGATTTCCATAACCTCAGACAATGTCACAAATGGATCAGGCACTTTTGTTGTATTAGAGGTTTGTTCTGGAGATAAAGTTTTTTCTATCAAGAATGACTCTCAATCAAATTCTGATATGGTCACAACTTCTTCTACCTTGTCATCTGGATCTGTAAGTATATTTTTTTTTTGTATTAAGCTTTTTGCATTATAGTTTGATCCGTGTGTGCATTATCATAGCGTCTAATAGTAGTCTCAAATTTAAATGAGTTAGGTCATGATGTTGGATCAAATTTCCTCTGATGAGTGTCCTACTCCTATAACTAAGCGCAAAGACGATGACTATGACCTACAGGACCTAACCTCTTCTTCGAAGAAACNTTTTTTTTTTGTATTAAGCTTTTTGCATTATAGTTTGATCCGTGTGTGCATTATCATAGCGTCTAATAGTAGTCTCAAATTTAAATGAGTTAGGTCATGATGTTGGATCAAATTTCCTCTGATGAGTGTCCTACTCCTATAACTAAGCGCAAAGACGATGACTATGACCTACAGGACCTAACCTCTTCTTCGAAGAAACAATGCACCAAGCTAACCAAACAAGAGAAGACGAAGACCGATTAGACTGAAGATCATGGCCTATTTCCAATATCAAATTCCTTCCCTTTATGTTTCAAGTTGTTGTTATGCTGTTGATTTTTGAGTTTCTTTAAACTTTGAAGCTTTGTTTTTTTTTAAATTTTTTTGGTGTTATTTGATTTTCCTATATTTAATAATAAGCTGGGTTTTAAAATGAGATTACGTTAAACTTATTAAATATCAGATGCATCAATTGTTTTTACTAATCTAAACAATTTATTCAGTTCACACAAGAGCCTATCTAACCAATCAACTCATATAGTTCTAAAGTAAAAATATACTAACAAGCGAAGTTCTAAAGGAGAAAATTGACAAAAGAGTATAATTGTTTAGAAGAGTGAACCTGTATAAAAGAGTAGGAATGGCCGACTCTGGTCTATCTTCTTCTCAACGCATCTGTGAGTCCAATTTGTATTATGATTAACATAAAGAACAAATTACTTGAGAATAATGTTTACTAACAAAGGCAATATCAATTTACATGCAGATTTTGAGTAAATTCGACTATAAATGTTATAGATTGAAAAATTAATGTTAGAGAAGTTTAAATTAAATAATTCCTAA